CTGCTTTTCCTGGGTTCAGCAGGAGATAATAAGAACACTCCCACCAATCCAGCCCCTCTCTCTCTGTCTCCTGTCCCCATTCCTCACACCTCAGTCAGCAGCTCAAGGAGATCTCCTCCAGGGTTGGCTCTGATGACCTCCACCAGTGTCTGGACAAAATCTGAGCCCTTTTCATCCCGATAAGCCACACAGCCTAGGTGAGAAGATGGGGTCAGACTCAGCCTTGGGCTGCTGTGCTCTGCATCCCAACCCTCAGTGACCTAGTGTGGGAAGGAGAGAGGAGGGGAAGCAGAGAGCACTCTAGGTATCTAGCTTTAGGCCAGCACAAGTCCGGGACTTCTTGCATCAGGAAGAAGTTGCTGATATTTGTAGAATGAGTATTTGGGTAGAATCAATGTACAACAAACATTTACTGTGGTCTTGCTAGGTACCAAACAGTGGACAGGCATCTGAGGCAGGCAGGACTGTCCTGTCCTAGAAGAACTTACACAAGGGAGCATTTGACAGGAGCTTGCCTTTGTAACGGTGACTATAAAGACTAACCTATGGAAGGAAGGTCACTTAACTAGAGCTGGACTCTTGCTGATAGTAAAGCCACTCCAGGTCTTAGGGCAGGAAACTAGGCCCACAGTAACCATGGGCTTCTTACCCTCAGCAGCTGCATAGACAGTAAGGATGTCTGCTCGACCTGGGGTCCCTGGAGTGGAGATAAGGCTGCCTGCAAAAAAGAGTGAACTCCCATTACCAGCATCCGGGGACTCCACCTGACCCACTGTCTTGTCATCTCTGGTTCAAGGGCAGCACTAGACAGTGGGAAGTGTGTAGGGCTGGAAAACCACAAGCCTACAGCATTCAGGCTGTATGAACTTAGAGAAGTTAGTTCCTCTTGCTAACTCCAAATTGTCAGACTCAGGAGCAGAAGCCTCTGAGTCCCTCACAGCTTAGGGAGACATTTCTGCCCTGAATCTTGGCAAAGCAGGAGCAGAGATGGCAGCAAAACCCAAGCTGACAGAAGCATGCTGTGAGTGAGTCCCACTACCAGCGTGCCAAGCCCAGGCTCTGGAAGAAAAGCAGACCCACCTGGGGCACCAGCTTGGATCTGAAGAACATCCGCCTGGGTTGGCATGGCTGAGGGTGCTCTCAGCCAGCGCCGGTACCATGGGAGAGCTCTTGGCCTCACACCAGGGTCCCTGTTCTCTGGAGAAGGATGGGGGAGATACTTTTACTCGGGATATCTCTGGATGACCCAGACTCCATATAAACAGTGAACAGGCTTGCAGGGCTGGCAACATTCATAAAGGCTCAAGTTTATGGACTTAACTACAGGGGAGGCTGGAGAGGAGCATGGGAAGGCCAGCATGCAGGCTTCCTGGAGGAGCTGAGTGGGAAATGTTGGAGGGTAAGGGCGGGCAGAGGAATGCCAGGGTAGAGGGTTGGGCTGGAGGCAGGGCCCCTTACCCCCACGGCAGGCCTGGAGCAGGAAGATCTTGGGGTGGCCATGCAGTGCCTGGCAGAAGCTCAGCTCCTGCACCAGCGCTTCTGGCTGTACTTCTTCACCATCAGCCCCCAGCAGCTGCCCCTGTGGCCCCCCGTGGGCCATCAGGGCCACCAAAGCACAGCTCACAGGGCCCTTGTGAGTATCCAGTGTTTCCCGAAACTGAGCCAGTTCCTCCCAGAAGGCCTGGAGTGGTAAGGTCAAGTCTGAACCAGCCCCTGGCTGCCTTTCATGGGGCTGGGGCACTTCAGTCTCTGTCTTGGAGATCAGGCTTCCCAAGGCAAGAAAGTGACTAGCCCATGCATACAGCAGGAAGTCTAGATTTACAGATGTGCTTCCTGCCTGTGATGTGGGGGACACCCAGGAAGGAGAACTCCAGGATCCTAGGGCAGGGATACCCTTCCTTCCAAGAACCACGAGTTTTAGGCTTCCCCCTACCTGAACTGAAGGGTGGTTTCCCCCTACCTGAGCTGAAGGGTTTGTCCTCAGGGTGACCTTGAAGCCCAAGGCCTGGCAAAGGTCCCTCAAGGCTACCACATCATGCTCTGCTCCTAGCCGGTCTTGAATCACAGCCAGTAGGAGGGCAGCCCTGGTCCCAGACAGGTCATACTGTGTGCTTGGTCCAGGGTCTGACTGTACAGAAGGTTAGGGAAACACAGTAGGCCGAGGGGACTCCCAGTTCCTCCTCTCACTCACTCGTGTCTCCCTCAGCCTCCACCCAACCTGCATCTGCAGACACAGGACTGGGATCCCTCTCCACCCCTCACCTCTGTTCTCCAGGGCTCCTCATCTCCTAAATACAGAGTACCCCGAAGGGAGGTCCTAAAGACTGGGCAGTAGGTGTTTCCAGCAGACTCTTCAGCCACTCTGCAAAAGAGCTAGGAGGGCAGGACCCAAGGACACCTCAGAGAACTGCCCTCTTGGGGATCAAGGGAAGGATTATAACTCAAGCAGAGGGGTCAGGATCTTGGCTCCAGGAGAGACTTTAGAGGTCACATTTCAGAGAGAAAGTAGAGGTCAGGGTGGACGTAAGCAAGACCTACACTCTGACACGTTCATTACCTCACTCTAGGGATGAATACAGAGGCAGGACCCTTTGTGAGAGGGATAAGTCTGTGGAGGAGGGTTCCCAAGGTATCATTACCTGGGGAGGTACTAGGCTGAGCGAGTCATGGAGCAGAACTGGGAACCACAACCCCCACTTCTAGGTCACTTCAGATACCACCTAACTACCCAGCAAGATGTTCAGACCTCAGGACCAAGCCCCAGCCTATCTCAGCCACCAGGGCCCTTCCATAGCACAGGGCAGTCGTCACTGCCTGTATGAGTGTCCAAGGGTGAGACTGGACGTTTCAGTGTAGATACCAGGAGCTAAGCCAGCAGGAGAGCATGTGACACTGAGGGAAATGAATACTCTGGACAAAGTCATGGGGTGGATAGGATGTTTGGAGTCTGGGTGGTCATGCAGTTATGAAGGCATGTTCTGCAGCCCATGTATGCATGTTTGCAGAACAAATGTAACTGAGTTTGAATTAGCTTAATCATAACTGGCTCTAGGGAGTCAGGGAGGCATAGGCCCAGCCTTCCCTACATCTGGGTCCCCCCACCTCTGTCAGTAGCTGCAGCAGTGACCAGTGAGGATGTTGACTGCAGAGTTTCCCCAGATGCAGAAGGAAAGCTTCAGGCTTCCAGGCAGCTGGAGGAGAAGCACCCCACAGCTGTGTAGGTAGGACAGAAGCTCCCAGCTTTCCTGTTCATCCCCCACCTTTACTTTGTCCCTCCCCCCAAAACTGGGGTGGGGTCACTGACCATCCACTCACCCTTGAGGCCACTAGAGAGTAACAGGAAGATTTTGGGACAACCCTGCAGGGCCCCACTGTGACTCAGCTCCTTGACCAGCAGTTGTGGCTGCCTTAGCTGCCCACTGGGAGCCATTAAGACCACAAGGGTACATCCCACAGCAACCCTCTGGACAGCCAGCTGCTCCCGGAACAGACTCAGCTCCTTAAGGAAGCTCTAGGAGAGAGAGGCAAAGTCTGATGAGGCCCCAGCTAAATGTGAGTGTTTGGCTAAGGGCTGCAGGTTACGGGGTGAAAGCTCACCTGGACTGGGACCTCCCTCTTCTCATAGTTTTCAAAGCCCAGAGCCTGGAACACAGCATCCACGGCAGCGACTACTGTGGCAGACACCCCAGGGCTGTGGAGTATCAAGCCTGCCCTTGAACCCTGCACATTGTATTTTCCCTGGGGAAGGAAAACCAGAGCTGGACTAGGCTGGGGGCCCAGCTGGGTGTTGGGAACAGGCTGGGCCAGGTAGAGCATCTTACTACCTTTCTCCCCAAGCTGTCCCAAGCATCCACCAGCTGTGCAGCGGCCTGTAGCGTCCCAGACACCAGGAAGGCCATGAGAACCAGGTAGGGCCTCCTCAGGCCCAGAGCTTACTTCCTGGCTCTGCTCTCAGGTACCTTGGGACCTGATCCTTGCCCTTTCCTATACCTGCTGCCGCCTATCAACTGCTTATGATCCCAAACGGACTCTGCCCTTCCCTAGAAGCCTGGGCTCTGCTCCCCGCAGCCCAGCTCCTTTTTCTGGCTCTGGCTGACAAACTCACGGCTGGCATTCATATGTCCCCACCTTAGCCATGGGCCTGAGCCCAAAGTCTATTCTTAGTCCTTGGCCCACGCTCCTATCTGATCTTGTTACACCTGAGTGTCTCCCTCAGGAGAGAGCTGCTAGCACCAAAAAGGGCTTCACACTGTTCTCAACATCTTTTCACCCTACCCTCCTTCATGCAGCTGCTCACAAACCCCATGTACACAGCAGTTCCTTCCCATGGAAAACAGGGATAGTTGAGACCACACGACAGATGTTCTATACTGGGGGCTGGCCGAGAAAGAAACCTGGGGACAAATGGATCAGTTCACAAGGTATGGGAATATCTCGTCTCTATTGATCCCCAGGTGAGGTCCCCTAGGGCTGCCCAAAAGAACCAAAAGGATCAACAAGAGTCAAAGAAGGAGTGACTGGTCATGACCAGGTACCACCAGCCCAGTGTAGGCCCCAGCTTGTACTAAGACAGGGGAGGAGACATGTTGAGGGCTGGCTAGGAATAGCAACTACCCTTCTGACAGCTTCAAGCACACACTGGGCAGTTCTGAGTTTGGCATCCCACAGCGTGCCCCTCAGTCAGGCAGTCAGTCAATCCGCATCCCACAGAGCAACAGCGTGCCCCCCAGTCAGTCAGTCAGTCAGTCCTCCTTTAGCCCCTTGCTCATCTCACCACTGAGAATGGGGGACCTCACAAAGACACCAAGTCATGTTTGGCTCCTTCCACTTCCAGACCATGACTATATGGACTGACAAAGGATAGGGAGAGTCATGGGACTGCAGGTCCATTTTGTAGCTTTCCATGGCGACTACATACACCATGAACCATCAGCATGACCAAACCAAAAGACCAAGAGTTAACTTCCACGCCCCTAACTCAGAAAAGCCAGTTAAAAATGGTAGCCTCAAAAATTTTCCACGTTTATTCAAACTCTTCTGAAGCTCACTGGGCTGAGTCCTTCTTTAGGGCCATGGTCTGTCCCTGTTAATGTGAATCTGCACACAATGCAGATTTAAAACATGGAAATATAGTGCTTGAGGAGTCAGCTACAAAGTGTGGTGGAGTGCTAGTGTTAAGTACAACAAAAACCACACGTCTGGAAGACTGGGTGTTCTCCAGTCAGCCTGTTGCTATAGCTACCACCTCCACTAACCTCCAGACCTGTAGTGTATCTCAGGGATCAGAGCAGAACAACTAGGCAGCTTCCTGGGGTCAGAGCATGACAGAATGGTCACAGGCTGGAAGGGGGTGGGGAGACAGTGGAGGCCAAGAAGCTGCTGTGATGGAACCCAGGACCTACATCCCCATTGGTGTGGGCCCTTCCCAAGGCCAAAACCCAGCAGCCCCCCTGAGGACGGAGGCCAGTCCCCACTGGAAGGCACAAGTACACAGGGCAGAGGCTTAGCCAGGCTGATGGGTCCACATAAGAAAATAAGAAACAAAGAGCCTCTGCCCAAGCAAGGCTGGAGGGTTCTGGAAAACCCGAGGTCCTGCCTGAGCCCTCATACCACCTGGTCCTCAACTGGAAACTATGAAGCTCCAGGAAACGGAAGAGAAATCCAGAGCAGGGAGGGGAGACACGGTGGCAGGGTCCTGGGAGCAGGCAGGCCAGTTCAGAGTACAGGAGGCCTTGTGTCCCTTTGACAGGCTGGCAGTGGTCACAGGTGAGTGGAGAATTCCCCAGGGGGAAGGAAGAGATTCTGTGAGAGTCACAGAGGGGCGAAGGGAGGCTGCTTAGGTCCCACCATGGGCTCACCCCACGGGTTGGGTCATCTTGGCGTGCAGGCTCTGGTGCGCAATGAGGTGTGCACGCTGCTTGAAACTCTTGTCACACTCGCCACAGCCGAACGGCCGCTCGCCTGTGTGCACACGCCTGTGGTCTAGCAGGTAGGAGCGCAGCGAGAAGCTCTTGCCGCACTCGCTGCAGCTGAAGGGCTTCTCACCTGTGTGGATGCGCTGGTGGTCAGCCAGGTAGGCGCTGCGGCTGAAGCTTTTGCCACATTCAGAACAGGAGAAGGGCTTCTCGCCCGTGTGCACGCCCTGGTGGCGAACCAGGTCGGAAGAGCTGCGGAAGCTCTTGTCGCAGTCAGGGCACTTGTGTGGCTTCTCACCCGTGTGTGTGCGCTGGTGCCTGGCTAAGTCTGAACCCCAGCGGAAGCACTTCCCGCACTGCTTGCAGCTGTGGGGCTTCTCGGTAACTAAGTTCCGAAACTGGCGCCTGCGAGCAGGCGGCCGCCCCCGACGCGCTACCACCAGCTGGTCCAGGGCTGTCCTCGTTGGGTTCCCACTCTCCCAGACCTCAGTTTCAGCCTCCTCGGGATTCCAGGATATAGGCACTTTGGTCTGTCCCAACAATGCTGTCACTGCCTCCTCTGCAGGGGGCTTTTGGCTTTTGGGTCTCAAACCTGCAAAGGAGGGGTGAAGCCTCTTTTTAGTCCCCCTTGATTCTGGTTCAGGAAGAGAAATCACCCTGGTTTTGAGGTTCAGGCTGCTGTGGCTCCAACAAGCCAGGGTCTTCTCATTTACAAAATGACTGGATGACAGGTGAGCAAGATGACCTCAGTGGGTAAAATCACTTGCCACCAAGCCTAATGACCAAGCCTGAGCCCACCCCCAACCCCTACCTACATGTTAAAACCAAGCCTAGAAAACCATCCTCTGGTTTGAGGATAGTTGAAGGACCAGACATGTCGTTCCCTGCATTGTACACAAAAGAAAAATACTAAAATAAAATTTTATTTCAAAAGTGCTTTTAATGGGAAGATGATAGAAGGCCAGCCAACGAGCAGTTTTGAGGGCGCCTAGGGGACACCAGTGAGCTGATCCTTCTGCAGAGGCAAGGGCCATTATAAAGACCCTCTGCCTATTCCCTGTCCTGTGGCCAGTACCCTACTTTACACAGCTAACACTCCCAGTCCGCTGATCACGGCTGGCTTAACTTTGTAAACAGAAGGCATCAGAATGTGTAGCGACTGTGGTCCTCTCCTTCCTTAAGTTCCATCTCTGCAGACAACACACAGTGGCCTTGGACAGGGAGGAACTCCACTCAGAGTGCTGTCAGTTAAGTAACATGAGACCAGGAAACGCTGAGAAAGGGCCTAACTCGGTGTGGCTTCAGATAGTAGGCTACAACAAGGGCTCCTGTTTTTTTTAGCATTTCTGTAACTGACATGATCCATGGATCTCACTGAACCCAAGATTTGTATCTGGGGCAAATCTTCCTATGAGCCAGACTGAGGTTTGACTGAGAAAATGCAAGCCCTCAGCATGGAGCTGGCACAGAGCTGGCACATGGAAAGCACTGGTCAACTGGTCACACAACTCAGAGATACAGAAAGTCCAACATCCTAGGAAGCGGTTGAGAAGACTTGGGAAAAAACCTGACCAGGAGGGGTGGGAAGAAAAGCAGGACTGCAGCAGAACGAGGGGCCCACGGGATCCACTTACCAAGGGCAGCATTCCGGGAGTTCTCTCTCTTCATGTCCCAGAAGAGGTCCCTCTGAGCAGGGTCCAGGGAGCTCCATTCTTCTCGGGAAAAATAGAAAGGGATGTCTCCCAATGCCACAGATTTTTGGAATGGGGAGCTATGACCCAGCTCAGGTCTCCCAGGCAGCTGTGTGTGAGTGGGGACAGGAGGGGTCAAATTATATAGTCAACACCACCAATCCCTCTGAGAGAATAAAGGACAGCTAACTCACATCAACTGCAGAGGCAAAGCAGACATCCAACATTTCTCCTGTCCGTCGTTCTTTAAGAACAGGGAGCTGGGCTGAAGGAAAAGAACAAAGCTTTGTACAGGCCAAAGTCACGGGCTGAGACAGATGGCTTCATCTGCACTTGCAGATGCACACCTCAGATGCATGCACATGTGCACTCACGTGACTGAGCTTCCTGGTGCCTGTCACCCTCAGGAATGTCACCCTCAGGACAATTCTAGAGAAGGAATCCCGCCACACTGCTGACTAAAGCGTCTTACTCACCATGGCCATGGTGCTCTTGGGGTGCACGTAGCTGCTTCTGGGGAGACCCTGTGGCTTGGAGTCCCTGGGCTGCTGCCTTAGGCCCCACATCTGAGAGCTCACCCTGTACAGAAACCATAGCATGCCCATTAGACAGAGACCAGCTTGGAGGCCAAGGGTGACACCACTTAATCCTGGGAAAGTGATACGGGACACAGCCTGAGGAGGCTGAGGGCTGGGTGGGAGTAGGGATCAAATGGAGGCCCAGGAGAGTCCTGCAAAGAATGAGATGCCAGGCAGTGGTGTGTATCCAGCGACATTTCATGATCAAGAGGCAAGAGCCAGTTCCTAAAAGGTCAGAATTACAGCCACTTAGCAAGAGAGAAATGGGGCATGGGTGGTCCTCCTGCCGAGGGCAGAATCCCACACCCTAGCTGCATGAGAACACCATCTCCAGCTCTCCCAGTGTCCAGAACACAAGACAGCAGGGTACCCTTAGACAGCTCTGCTTCCTTATATCCCTCTGGCTCTCTGACACATATTATCACATCCCTGCAGATTAACTTCAGCAAAGCATGGATAGCCCTTTCTGGGCTCACTCAGGAGGCACGTGGATCTCTGTGAGTTCAAGACCAGCCTGGTTTACAAAGGACGTTCTAGGGCAGTCAGGGGTTACACAGAGAAACCCTATCTCAAAACAAACAAACAAACATACAACATCAACAAAACCCACATTTCTGGACCATAATCACTTTGAATCCAATAAAGTCATGAAAACCAGAGTATATTTACTTAAGACTACATTGGGAATTTTGTTTGTGCTTCTCTGGACTTGGTGTTTTTCCCCTGCCCCTGGACCCTGTGGAGACTCATCTCCATGAAGATGGCCTCAATTCTTCAGGCTCCAAACATGGAAGGGGCCCCTCCTCACCTGTGGCCAAGTTTTCAGTGACTGATTCTGTATGTCCTCCACCAAAGCGACAGCTTCCTCTCCACTCCCAAGGTGCTGTCTCTGCACCTGGGCTTGGACCTCCCCTGGGAGCACAGCCAGGAACTGCTCCAGCACCAGCAGCTCCAGGATCTGCTCTTTGCTGTGCAGCTCAGGCCGCAGCCAGCGGCAACAGAGCTCCCACAGCTGGCTGAAGGCTTCGTGTGGTCCGCCCGCATCCCTGTAGCAGAACTGTCGGAACCGCTGGCGGCAGGCTTCTGAATCCCTGCTGTCCAGCGACTGGGCAGGCTCCTGTTCCCAGGAGCAGTCTTCCACTTTCACAATCATAAGCCCTTCCTCCTCCCCAGGGGCAGGGTCTTGGAGCTCCTGGAGGGATGCCATGCCCCTGGCTTGAGGCTCCAGAGCTGAGCCTTTCAGTCTCCCAGAGGGATTCTCTTTGACGGCTGGGCTGGCATCAGGACACACCTGCCTATGGAAAAGGTAAAAGAACAGTACTTGAGGGAGATCGAAAATACATCATTCTGAAGGAAAGTCGGGGACTCCAGTACCTATTCTGTGCCTCTGAAGCCTCTTTATGCTTTACTGCAATGGTGCTCTTTGTAACTGTGTACTGGTAATACAGACCCACAGTCCTTCATCACGACACCTGACATCCCAAGTCTGGGCTTTTCCTGGCCCATTTGACAGCAAAACCTAATGTTATTCATTTGGAAGCAGTACTGCATCTGTTAATACAAGCTTATTTTTACTTTCATGTATAGTAACTTTCCAAGCTTAACAGCAAAAAATAAACATGTCCGTGCAGTCTGTAAAGATCCCTTGAGCTAGCTGCAGATTGCACTCTCTCGGTTGTGAGAGTGCTTGCCTAGCATGAATGATCCCACCACTGGTCTGAACTGGGTAAGATGATCCATATTTGTAATCCCAGCACTCAGATTCTCAAGGAAGAAAGATTAGAAATTCAAGGTCATCTTCGGCTACATGAAAAGTCTGAAGCTAGCAGGCTGCAGAGATAGCTCAGAGGTTATGAGCATTTATTGTTCTTACAGAGGAGCCAGATTTGGTTTGCAGCACTCAGATGGTGGCTCACAATTATCTGTAACTCTAGTTCTAGGAAGTCCAACTACCCCCCCCCAACTTCCTCAGGCAACAGTTCTACAGATGGTGTGCATACATCTATGCAGGTAAAACTCTCCCACACAGAATAAAGTAACTAATTCTAAAGATATATCTAGCCGGGCGGTGGTGGCACATGCCTTTAATCCCAGCACTTGGGAGGCAGAAGCAGGCGAATTTCTGAGTTCGAGGCCAGCCTGGTCTACAGAGTGAGAGCCAGGGAAGATTATATCTATACACGTAAAACTCTCCCACACAGAATAAAATAACTAATTCTAAAGATATATCTATGCACATAAAACTCTCTCACACACACAGAATAACTAATTCTAAAGATACATCTATGCAGGTAAAACTCTCACACACAGAATAAAATAATTAAAAAACATTTTCAGTCACTGAGCTCTTCTAGTTTTGTTTTCAAGACAGGGTTTCTCTGTGTAGCACTGGCTGGCCTGCAACTCATCGTAGTCCAGGCTGGCCCCAAACTCAGACATGTTCTTACCTCTGCCTCCCAAGTGCTAGGAGCCATGTGCCATCACCTGAGCTATTCTTAAGGTATGTTTTTAAGTAGATATACTCCAATTGTAAAATTTCACTGAGCAGTACATACATAGTGGTGCATGTCTAATCCAAGAACTGTAGGACCAAGGCAAGAGTGGCCAAAGTTAGAAATCAGCCTGGGCTAGAGAGCAAAACTGTCTTTAAAAAATTATAATTACTGTGTTTAATTATGAATGTAGTCTTAAGTCCCTCTACTGCTAGGCCATACTGTTAGTTTTCTCAAATTTGAAAACTCACAAATTTATGGGGCTAGAGAGATAGCTCAGTGGTTAAGAGTATTCAATTTCCAGCATGCACATGGAGGCTCACAACCATTTGTAATTCCAGTTCTGGGGTATCTGGCAGCCTCTATTGGCCTTTCTTGAACACTACATACACGTGGTACACTTATATACATGAAAGCAAACACTTAAAAAAAAAAAAAAAAAGCTTACAAATTCCAGAAACTCCTTACTCCAAGTAAGGGATGGGTGGTATATGGGGCCTCATGGACACTATCCAACATTATTTATTTGCAACTAATTATGAATGTATGGCATGTACTTGTATTTTATGTTGTTACTACTTCATGTACTCTTATAAGTGTGATTTGAACTTCTCTCTTTTATTTCAAGTCTAATTAACATGAACATTATAACTTAAAGGACGGGAGGGAAATGTTAATATACCGATGTTTCTTTTTGAGTCACTGACAATCTGATAAACGACGGTGTCATATTTTTTCCCGTGCTTTTACTGAAAATGGTTATCTTCAGAATCTACAAGCGCTTGATGTGTGTTTTACATAACTGAGATCTTATGAGTAAACCATTTTGGATTTCGCGTTTTTTGACCTAGCAACGTTTCTTCTTAAGTGAACCTATAGGGTTCTGCGGCATGGGGGTACTCCAGTCTCTCAACCAACCCGAGTGATGCATTCGGGCGGTTTCCAATTCTTCTCCACTACCACAAGCATTTCATTTACGCTTCTCTTCACGAGCCTTCCGCCTCATCATCCAGGGACCGAGGAGGTGTCCTCGGGGAGGGCCCGGACTCACCATGGTCGCTCGGCAGGACGTGGGAAATGGGGACGGTCCCCAGCAGCCTGGTGAGGGTGGCGGGCTCAGCGGTGCTGCCGAGAGACCCGGAGAGCCGAGAACCGGCGTTGCCCGGAGGAGCGCGTCCTTTCTGGCCGGCGCCTCGAGCGCCGAATCCGCAGGAGCCCGTCTGCACCAAACGCCGGTCCCGCCCCCAAGCCACGCCGCCCAGAGCTGCGCAGCTGTTCAGAACTTCCCAGCAGCTCCCGGTGCCGGAAATTCGCGCGGGGGTCGCTGGGAAACCAGCTGGCGCATGCGCAGACATTAGCATTTGAAGCTGGTGCCTTCCAGAATGCCGTCTGTCGGCGCTGGGTAGCCAATGAACGGGGAGAAGTCTCACGGCTAGCCAATCTGACACCCTGGAGCTAGAGATTTGGAAGAAGTCTCATTTTAGCCTTCTAGGTGGCACTACACCTAAGTCGGGTCCTTGGAAGATGTCGGAGCTTCCTGAAAAGTGCAGTCTAGTTAGAGCGGAGCCTCCATCGTGGGCAATATCTCCTGCCCTCCTTCCGTATGTAACTGAGCTGAGGATCAGGAGGAATCCAGAAGCCTAAGGACGCTGAGCAGGAGGCCCACCCCTCCCCGGACATGGGTTAAGCATTGTTGCAATTTGTTAAAGTCACTATTGGTGCTAATGGTAAATTACCTTTATGTTGTAAACATACTTGAAATTTACTTTCCTATAAATAGACAAAAACCAGAACGGGGCAATTTCACTCCGTGTGGCAACTGTCAGACTCTCCCTTGCTTCCTTTTTTTGTTTGTTTTTGTTTTTTGTTTTGTTTTTGTTTTTCGAAACAGGGTTTCTCTGTGTAGCCCGGGCTGTCCTGGAACTCCCTCTGTAGACCAGGCTGGCCTCGAACTCAGAAATCTGCCTGCCTCTGCCTCCCAAGTGCTGGAATTAAAGGCGTGTGCCACCACTGCCTGGCAGGTTTTCTTTTCTTTTAAAAAATGTTTATAAGTATTTCACCTGTATGTGCACAGCATTCATCCCTGGTGCCTCTAGAGGTCAGAGGAGGGCATTGGATGCCCTAGAGTTATGTGTGGTTGTGAGCCACCATGTGGGTGGTGGGAGACAAGCTCTGCTTGTCTTTTGTGTAAGCCTAAAGTATGTGTGGGGGGGTAGTAAGTGCATATATTCAAGTGTACACATGTGCTTGCATGAGTGTGTGTGTGAGTATGTGTATGTGTGTGAGTGTGTGTATGTGTGTGAGTGTGTGTGTGTAGGCCAAAGGTCAATATTGGGCGTCTTTCCAATATTTCCCATTTGCTTGTTTGGTCTGTTTATTTTGAAACAGGTCTTGCTATGCAGTTCTCTCTATATACAGGAGTGTATATGGATACAGCAGTGTAGTACAGAAACAGGAAACGTTCACCCTAATGGCCCGAGCCCACAGGTGAGGCAGCACTAGTTACCCACTACTTCCATGGCTTACACGTGTAGTCTTGAACAAGAAACCTCTAAGTTAGAAGGTCTTCCTAGACCTTTGAAGTGGAGAGAAGCACACACAACAGTGGAGAGAAGCACACACAACACACCGTGTACACTGAGCAGGTTCTCAGTGTCTAGCATCACTTGAGGCATTTTGTGTAGACTCTTTCCTCAGAGTCAGACACATACACACATGCTGTCTATACCGAAAAGAAAACCATGCAGGGAAGTAGAGTCCGGTGCCCACAAGCACACAGCTAAAGCACAGGGGGGCTGCCAATCCAATCTGCTCTTCTGGTCTTAATGTTTTGACTGCAGTGAGATACATTTTACTATCTTGAGTTTTTAAAATGTATATGTGATTCTAAGTATATGACATGTGTGTGGGTATCCTTAGGATCTAGAAGATGGTGTTGGATTCCCTGGGCTAAAGTCACAGATGACGGTGAGCAACTGATGTAGGTGGCCAGGCACTGAACTTGTGTCTTTTGCAAGAGCAGCTAGTGCTCTTAGCTACTGACCCATCTCTCCTCCCCCTTGACCATCTTTAAGTGAATAAATAGTTCATTAAAATGAAGTAAGTGTCTTAGAGCAGGAGGTGTTGGGACACACATCTAATAGCAGAGGCAGGTGGTGTTTGAGTTTGAGGCCAGTCTGGTCTCCAGAGTGAGTTCCATGACAGCCAAGTATAAAGAGGTGGGGGGTGTCTTTGTGTTGGTTTGTGAGTATTACCATTTCCAGAACACTTTTTCAACTTGGTAAATCAAACTATTCACATTAAACACTGTCTTAGTTAAGGTTTCTATTTCTGTAATAAAATGCCATGACCAGAAACAACTTAGGGAGGAAAGAGGTTATTTTCACTTAGAGTTCTCAGGTCACAGGCCATTGCTGAGGGAAGTCAGGGCAGAAATTCTATAACAGAGCAATAACCTGGAGTCAGAAACTGAGGCAGAGGCCATGGACCAGTACTGCTTTGTAACTTTAATTTTTTTCAAACCTTATTTTTTTTTAATTTTTTTATTGGATGTTTTATTTACATTTCATATGTTGTCCCCTTACCCCATCCCCCACCCACCCCAAACCTTATTTTTAATGATGGTCCTTAAACATTTTAACCACCCTTTATCCCACTACACGCCAGAGGTAGTAGAAAAGGAAGGATACTGGATGGGGGGAGTGGACCTGTGTAGAAAGGTTCTTTGGAACAACTTCCATCTGTCTTGTCTGGAAATCAGCACTTCAGTTCACAGGTCAGCAGACATTGGCGTTCAATCCACTTGAAAACTCCTCACGGATACACTACCTCCAGTTCGGTCGTGTCGGGTCAGCAACAGCAGTGACATGACCTAGCAGAGAGCAATTTCTATTGGTACCCCTATGGTTACTACCCACAGGTACTGGAGTTTGGTTGTATAGAGAACATGTAGGACATTCTTAAGTTATTTCTTTGGCTTGTCACCAAGCGATTGAAACGTTTTCCTTTAAACCTTCCCCGTTAGCATATGCTTCTCATGAAATTCTGAGGCTTCTAATACATTTCTTATTAGTAATTGGTCAATATCACCATTTTCTTATGGATCAGACAAACCTGTATGAGATCAAATATGAGTTATATATAATGGATAATTTCTACTGCTGCTGACTTGTTGTAGTCGTATAAAATGGCATAGTTAATTCTGAGTTGTCAGGTTCAAATTCAGCAGTCTCTGTATGCAGAACAACTCCTTCTACATATAAAGAATCAGTAATTATGTTAACAGGTTCAGGATAATCTAACAGTACCATAGGAATGCATGCAATTCTGATATTTGAACAGATGTATATGGACTTTGAGCACGTTACTTACTGTATCTGACTTACAACCTGCCATCACCCTCTTGTTGCATCAGTATAAAACGTTGATACCTCTGGAATCAGTGTTCTTTTTACTATACGTGGAAGAATCCAATTACTTCTTTTTATACACTGTATAGTTTGCTTTTTAGATATTTGTTATTAATTTCACCCAAGAAGTTAACTACAAGCTTTTTGCCAATCCATAATCACCCATAGTGACAGAATTTCAGCCTTTGTAAGAGATACAACAATTTCAGCTGGATCTGTCCCTGCCAACTGGCATAGTCTGATTCTGCCTTTTATACTTAATTCGGAAATCTTTGATATAGATGTCTTCAATTTTTTACTTTGTCTATGAGCTAAGAAAGTCCATTCTATAATACTATCTTCCGTTTGCATAATGAGCCCAGTAGGAGAATGAGGTAAAGGCAAAACCACCAGAATACCACCAAGTTTAGGATCAGTTCTATCCACATATGCCTCTTGCAGTCTTTGTTCTACAAGTTAACTCTTTTTCTGCTTCAAATGTCAGACATCTTGGAGTGTTTAAATTGGAGTCTCCTTTTACTACCCTGCTTTAAGCTCCAGCCACAGCCCTGGTTCCCTTGGATCTGTGAATGAAAGACACACACACACACACACACACACACACACAGAGAGAGAGAGAGAGAGAGAGAGAGAGAGAGAGAGAGAGAGAGAGA